TGGATATCGAAACGACCTAGACTCGCCATACACTCTAAGGGGTACATTCCCAGATTGCAGCGAAATTCAATCGTGTGACTCCAGGTGGTTACGAACATGTTCCCGCTACGCTTCTACTCCGTCGGTCTAGATGCTGCCGAACGGTACGCGACTCTTCACGTCAATTCGACCTTTTGCCTTCGTACTCTTCATTGTGTTCATCGCTTGCTACAGATAGGAGTACACACTACTTCCTAATTTACTATTCGTGACACCCCCCATCACTCCTGGCCGTAGCAAGTCTTGACCCGTCTGACTGCTTTGCTTGAGTTCGGAGCACTGCCAATGCTGCTGATGAGGCAGTCGGTTCGTGAGGAATTCGGCTGCCATATCACCCGTAGGGCAATACCGTATTACTCCGGATATAGGAAGCGCCGATAAAAGGGTCCTCCGGGACTCTCTATGGCGGGGGCCGGGAGGGGAGGACCAGGCGTGCATGCCCAGCCATGGAGCGATGCCTTCTAGCTGGGAACCATGACGCCTTCTAGTAGGGGGCTGCGGGGCCTTCTAGCTAGGGGGCGCGGGGCCTTCATGTGAAATTGAACGAGAATGAAAAGACTAAGGGAAAGTTGGGTACAAGTACAAACCCTAGAAAGTTGTACCCCATATGTGCTACCCCACTATAGCCTACAGCAGCTAAGTCATGTAAATCTGACACACCCCCATAGGCAAAGTGGGGGAGGACAAGGGGTCACAAGACCAGTCAAGCAAAGCAAATCAAGCTCAGGGTGGATAACAACGTCACCATACATTCCGAGCACAAGTTCAAGGCCACAAGGCCAGTTCACATGCAGGATTACATATATATATAAGGCTAAACAAGCAAGAGCAGGTGTATATATATGTGTAACAGAACAAACAAGGTCAAGGGGTGAGCAAATGAGGCAAGGTAGGCACAAGACCCAGCTGAGTACAGAAGCGCTGATGATCACAAGGCGCAAGTGCCTTGGTGAAGAAATCAGCAGTGTTGGCCTGAGAGGCCACGTACGCAAGGCGCAGCTGACCAAGCCGCTGTAGCTCATAAGCAAGGAAGTAGCGAAGAGCAATGTGCTTCATTCTGTGCTCCAGTCTCTGCTCCCGACACAAGGCCAGCATGGCCTTGTTGTCTACGTACAGCACCGGAGGAGAACGAGGCGGCTCTCCGAGGTAAGTCAGCAGGTAGGTGAGCCAGCGAAGCTCCTGTAAAGCTATGGCCCCTGCGTAGGTCTCAGCCTCACAACTGGAGCCGAGAACAGAAGACGAGCGGGTAGCCCGCCACGAAACAGAGCCGGAACCAAGGCTGAAGGTGTAACCCTGTGACGACCGCTGCGTAGCCTGGTCGTCAGCCCAAGAAGCGTCTGCGTGCCCAGTGAGGACCACTGGACTCTGCCCTCCAAGCACAAGCCCCATGCACGACGTACTGCACAAGTAGCGCAACACCCTCTTCGCTGCAGCCATGTGCTCGGGTCTGTGTCTCCAAGGAGCAACATAGCGTGCGAGAATGCTAAGAGGGTATGCAAGGTCAGGTTGTGTGCAGGTCATCAGGTACATGAGGCAGCCAACAAGCTCTGGGTACGGACCACAGGACTCTACGGACTCATCCGAAGGCAGAGCTGAGAGCGAGTGGCGAGTAGGCAGAGGAGTGGCCTGAGGCAAAGAGTACGTGAAGTTGAAGCGCTGAAGGACGTGCTGCACCATGTGCGATTGAGTCAGGGTAATGGTGCGGCGTGCTCTGTCCCGGGTGATCTGCAAGCCAAGGTAGCTGCACAGTTCACCTAGGTCTGTGCATGTGTGTCTTTTCTGCAGCTCGGACTTCACGTGGGCGAGTCCAGTAGTGTCAGCTGTGGCAAAGACCAAGTCGTCGTCGTACACGAAGATGTAGAACGGCGGCAAAGAAGTGTCGTTGCGCAGAAACAGCGATGGGTCGGCACTAGAGGGAGCAAACCCAAGAGCCGCAAGCGTAGTCCTCAGTGTGTCATGCCACTTATGCGGTGCCTGGCGGAGACCGTAGACTGGCCGCCGGAGGCTCCATTGGGTGCCAGGAGGAAAAGTCCCAGTGAAGCCACGTGGGCGGCGCAGCCAGATCTCCTCGTGCAGGGTGCACTGCAAGAAAGCAGTGCTCAAGTCAAGGAAGTGTAGCTCTTAGTCACGGTGAGCAGCTATGTGCAGCAGTACCCGAAGAGTGGTCATTTTCAGGGTGGGAGAGAAGGTCTGAAAGTAGTCAACTCCCTGCCGCTGACTGAAGCCATGAGCCACGTAACGCGCCTTGAAGACAGGCGGAGAGCTCGGCGGCCGCTTCACCTTGAAAATCCACATGCCACTGACGATGTTCGCCCCAGGCGGGGGAACCTCGTCAACTTAGGTGCCTGTGGACTTCCACGAAGCCATCTATGCGTCCATAGGTGCCTTCCACTAAGAGAAGTAGGGACCCTCTATCGCCTCCGCGTAAGAGCGTGGAGTCGGGATGTCAAGTGCATCCGGGTCTCCCTCAGGGGTAAGCAGTACGGACACGAGATGAGGTGAAGCAGCAGCCAAACACTGGAACTCCTCCTGCCTGTCCTCAAGGATGTCCGTGCCAAGGGCATACTCACCCCCAACGGACGGAGGACAGACAGACTCAGACGCAGCAACAAGACTAGCAGCGTAGTCTAGACGAAAGCGAGAAGCAAAGTAGACGAGCTCAGCATCTAGGGCAGACGCTGCAGTGGACTCAAAGGAAGGGTCAAGGACAACGGTAGCAAGGAGACGCGTGACAGTCGGACCGGCAGCACGAAAGGAGTCCGACTCTAGGTCAGCAAGAGCAGGAAGAGAGGACTCAGGAGGAGAAGGCAAAGGGGCACGCAGAGGAGCAGTGGACGGACGGAGAGACATCCGGTGCGTGCCGAGCACAGGGGGAGGACGCGGACGCGAACCACGATCACTAGTGCGAGCAGCACGGACAGGCGACGCAGGACAAAACGCAGGCTCACGACGCTCAGCAAGACCTCCAGTAGGACCAGTGTAGGGAGAAGGAGCAGGCAGTGGGGAGGCCGTGGAGAGAGTGGCTCCCGTCGAGACGGAGCACCCGGAGAACCTCCAGGCCCAGCACCGCCAGACGCCACTCAAGCAGGCCCAGCTCCTTCATGCTCCGCACCCCCAGGCTCAGCACCTCCAGGCGTAGCACCCCCAGGCTCAACACCCCTACTCGTAGCACCCCCAGGCTCAGCACCCCCACACTCAGCACCCCCAGGCTCAGCACCCCCAGTCGTAGCACCCTCAGGCTCAGCACCCCCAGGCTCAGTACCCCCAGGCGTAGCACCCACACGCTTAGCACCCCCAGAGTCAGCACCCCCAGGCTCAGCACCCTCAGCAGCACCAGAGTCACTAGCGACCTCCACAGGCTCGACTGCGTCTACCTGGGACAAACCTGAAGGGGCAGGACCCTGAGGGAGAAGGGGGTCTACCGGGGGGGGGACCTGACTTAAGGAACAGCGGTGGCGGGGGGAGGGACGGAGTGCGGTAGGGGAAGAGACGGTAGTAGGGGACCGACTCGTCAAACGTGATGTCCTGGGAGGACAGAACACGGTGAGAGGTGGGGTGGTAGAACTGCCACCCTGGTGCGTCAAGGGGGAAGCCAAGGAAGACGCAGGGAGCAACACGAGGGGACAGCTTGTCCGCAGACAAGTCGCGGACAATCGCTCGAGATCCCCAGACACGGAACACAGACGCATCGCCAACCTTCCCCGTCCACAGCAAAGCTGGGGAGGTCTCCGGCATGGAGACCCTGGGCTGAAGGTTGATCTTATGCGCCGCGTATCGAACCGCAAACGGCCACAGAAAATGGGGGGCAGCCGCATGCATCATGGACCTACGAGCGACGTCCATGACCATGCCAATGCGGCGCTCAGCAATCCCATTTTGCTGTGGGAGTCCGGAAGCGTGAAGATCTGGCGGATGCCTCGTGCACGACAGTAGGCTCGAAGAAGGCCAGAGAAGAACTCTCCGCCTTTGTCAGAGTGCAGACGCAGAACAGGAAAGTCCGAGCTGAAACTCTTCCTAAGCTGGAGACGAGCTGCGCGGATCCAGTCGATCAACACCTCAGTGACATCACCCTTGCTGCGCAAGGGTAAGACTGTGGTGTAACGCGAGTAGTTGTCAACCACCAGCAGGAAGTAGCGCTTGTGACCCTGTCCACAGACGCGGGCTGGGCCCCACACGTCCATGTGAAGCGTCTGCAGCGAGGCCTCTGTCGGAGGAAACTGGGAGGAGTGAGGGGCAGCACGCTGCCGCCCCTTCAACACAGGGGACGCAGGTAGGGGCAGGCCCCGGAGGAAGGGGAGGGAGGGATCGGGGAAGACCAGAGACAAGGAGACGGGAGGCCATGCCTCAGAGACGAGGCAGCGAGGGGTGACCAAGGCAGTGGTGCCAGAGGAGAGTCTCGTGAGACAGGAGGCGACACGAGCAGGGGGCAAACTCAGGATTAGACCTGGACGCTGCAGCAAACACTTGACCCGACGCAGCTGCCTGACCAGACGCATTGACTGGAGGAGACTCAATGGTCAGTGTGTACAGGCTCGACCCCGGCTGACGTGTAAACGTGGCCAAGTGTCGGCCCGTTCGAGCGTCCGTGCAGTGGGTCACCCGCTGGCTCGAAGGAGTGAACTTGTGAACCCCCGCTTCCTGTAGGTCAGCACCACTCACCAAGTTCGTAGAGAACGAGGGGAGGTAAAGACCAGACAGGGTGCCAGAGGGGGCCGCCGGACAAGGGAGGACAGTGGAGAAGTGAGCAAGGACAGGACCCCCTGAGGGGTCTGCCAGAGAGACTGCAACTGGCCGACCAAGCGGCGTGAGTGTGGTGCGGTCTCGAAAGAAGGAGCGAGAAGCCCCCGAGTCAAGGGTGAAGGTGTGGCAGGCCGAAGCCGACGCAGTACCTGAGAGAGTAGACTCACCAGCACCTGAGGAAGCAGACGCACTGGCAAGTAGAGCAGCAGCCTCGCTAGCACCTAGAGCAGCAGCCTCACCAGTACCTAGAGCAGCAGTCCCAATACCCGGGTCAGGCGGAACACACCGGGAACAGTCACCCTCATCACTTATAGTTACAGCATACATGGCAGCAAGAATAGCATCAAAGTCAAGGTCAAAGATAGCTACTCCCGCCCTAGACAGCTCGCCCCAGTGAGGGATCTTAGTGGCCTCAGGAAACTGGTGATGCCAAGCGTCCGTCAGGCGGCCAAAGCAGCGCTGGGTGGAGTGCGCACCCCCGCACGGCTCACCCGCACGGTCGCCGGTGCGTAGGACGTAGGTGCACGAACCAGTACCCCCACCCCGCTGGCGTGCAGCGTACCATTCACGAAGCTGCTGAGGGGGGGGGGGGGGGGGATCTCAGGAGTACGCTGCTGCTGGCGCTGACCACCACCGAAGCGGACCCTCTGCGTAGCGCCACCCCGACCAGCTCCACCTCCTCCGCCGCTGCCTCCTCCACCGCCGCCACCTCCACCGCCGCCACCTCCGCCACCTCCGCTCCCACCGCCACCGCCGCCGCCGCCTCCGCCTCCACTGCCGCCACTGACGCCCCCACCCCCGCCACCACCCCCACCGCCACCCCCACCCTCTTTGCTGCCTCCACCGGCTCGGCAGGCGTCCACCCTCTCGCTTTGTGAAGTGACATCCGACCCTTCGACTTCCATCCTCGTACCTGGATGACTCGCTATATACAGTGTGTACAGTATTTACTTCCCCCTTTGCGCTTCCCATTACCCTTCACATTCACAAATGTGACAGCTGTCGGAAACTCACCTACCTCCTTTCATCTACTGCTTACATTGCTCTGCTCTCTCTCTTCCCTTCTTCCTCTCTTCTCTCGGCTGCAACTCTCTCACCTCTTGCCGCCCTCTTCCCTCCTTACTTCCCACCGCTGCTTCCTTACTCTCTCTATTGTCCCTCTCTGCCGGTGCATCTTGTTCGTGCCTCCCTTGATCTGCTCTGCCGGTTACTTCTCTTGCCCCCTTCCATGACCTGCTACTGCCGTCCTTGCCCTGGTCATGGGACCAGTGTAGCTTTCCTTCTTCTTCTGCTTCCCCGCATGCTGTTGGGTGCAAATTCACATTGCACGACATCCTGCCGTCTGTTTGTACGAGTATGCGTGTGCGAATGCATTTGCGTGTGAATGGTATGTTTGTGTGTTTGTTTGCTTTCGCAATTTTCGCTTGAAGCATTTGCAGGTACTCGCAAAATGTGCGCTTCGGCATAACATTGTACGCGCTATGAACAGTACAAGCAGAAAGGACGAGCTCGCAAAGGAACCCAAGATGGAAGCTTTGCGGTTCAACTTACTTGATTGCGCAGATTCAGTTCTATCCAACTCGAAATTGTACTGTTTTGTTTGGTTGACTATAGTGTAGCAGGGCAGGCACTATAGGGGTACAATTTAGGTGAAGGTTGGATGTTGTTTGTCTGTATCTGCATGCTACAGGGCCAGGGGAAACCAGCGGAACCAGCATTTGGCTGGTTGGGCAAAGACAAAACAGGTTCTGTTTTTAGGACCTGAACCTGGTTGTTGTTTTCCCAGGTTGGAAAAACAGAACCAGAGGTTGTTCACCAACCTATCACCTGCTATTTTGTCCAGCCAGGTTGGTTCTGTTGCTTGGAATTATTTGGGATCATCCCTGGTTGTTCCCAGGTTGATTCCCAAGGTCCTTGCTAGCTAGAGCTATTTATTCCTTCTCTGTTTGTACCTGAATATAGTGAAATTGATTCAAGCGAATTCCTTCCTTGCTGGAATTTCTTTTCTACGCGGTGCGACGGCGGAATGCTACCCGAGTCAACGCTAGTACGCTAGCACTCCAACGCTAGGCTAACGCTGTCCGAGCCATAACTTCGTAATGGCAGAACTTTTCGCGAGGCAACTTGGCTTATTTTAAAGCTCTTAGAGTGAGCTTCGATATAGGAAATTCTCAGCTTAATCCGATCGACGGTCTGCACGATACGCTGCGCGACGTTCAAGGTACTCTTGCTGTTTTGACTAAGTCCCTCTTGATCCCTCTCTCTACAAACTCGGACCCGAGGATAGGGGCTGGTCTTGTACCAGGCACCCAAGGACCCTTGGAGGTGACCCCGAGGAGAGGTTTTAAGTGTGATAAAGTCTTAATAGCTTGAGTTTATTAGGCCCTTACACCAACAAGCTGGTATCAGAGCTGCGTTATAGTGATCCTCGATATAGGTAGCTATGGCGGGCAACACCTCGGCGGTAGCTGGTGAATCTTCAGCCCAAGATCGTAGCGGCAGCCATGATTCTGGTGTTTCTGCGCCAAGGGGAGCGCGAACAAACCAGGGCTCGCTGATCAAGGAGGTGCTGAAAAACTTCACCGTCGAGAAGTTCAATGGTGAGGGCTATGATGATTGGGCCTGGAAAATGCAACTTTATTTCCGTCAAATCGGATTGCTGAAACTAATGATTGGGGAGGAGCCTAGACCGAGTGACCCCGCCCTTCAGGAAGATTGGGACGAGCGCGCCTCGGCTGGCTACTACTTGATGTCGCAGAGTTTGGAGCTGAACCAGCGTCACCACGTCATGCACCTGCTGCCGGAGGTTGAGTGCGGTCCGAAGGCGTGGACGGTGTTGAAGGAGCTGCACGCCCCGACCTCCGTTGTTGCAACATTGATGCTGGAGAGGGAGCTGTCCGCGTTGCGCCTGAGCGAGGGAGAGCCGGTGCAACCTGTCCTGGACAAATTGCGCGACCTCTACGCGAAGTTGGCGACCGCAGGAATCACCTACCCGGAGCAAACAAAGTGCTTGAAGATGCTCTCGCTGCTGCCGGAATCGTGGCTTCAATTTACGAGCGGATTGAGCCTGCCGCAGAACCAGAGCTTGTGGACGCTCGAGTGGGTGCGGACAAAGATTCTAGAGGAGGACTTCCGTCGCCGTCAACTGAGGGGTGGAGACGACGGCAGCAGCGGCTACGGGATGCAAGGGAGCCGACGTGGCAAAGGACGTGGCTTCGGTGGTGCTGGACGCGGTGCAAAGAAAGACGACGACTCCAACGACCAACAAGGAGGTACCGGTTGGGGTCGCGGTGCGAAATCTGGACGTGGGGGCAAGTCGGGTGCTGGTGGCAAAATGAAAGGGAGTTGCTGGTATTGTGAGAAGGAAGGGCACCCCTGGTTTTTGTGCTATAAGAAACCCGATGGATGGACCCCCCAGAATCGTCACCAGGATGGCGGCGCGCGGAGGAACCAGAAAAACGGCGCCAACATGGTCGCTGATTCGTCCGACAACAACCCGAAGGGCAATGGCGGTGCGGAGAAGAAGAAGGAGCGCACCGCAGGCCAATTCTTCCATATGGGAGACAAGGGGGAGCAAGGAGACGCATCTGCTAAGGCTGGAGCAGAGCTGCACCCCCTGGACTATTGGGTGTTGGACACAGGCGCTGCTTGGACAATGACGCCGCGCAAGGACCTGCTGGACGACGTACGCGCTGCACCGATTAATGAGGTGTGCTCTGCCTCTGGACACATGTTGAAGGTGGCTGGTGCGGGACGAGCTGCATTTAAGGGAGCGGATGGCAAGCCGGTGGTGCTGCACGACGTTCTCCTCGTCCCCGACCTGAAGGCCAACCTCATCTCCCTCCGTAAGCTTGGCAAGGCTGGGGTGAACACCAACACGGATGGGGCTCGCACTTATAAGGGGAAGCTGGGCAATCGGGTGCTTTGGGATCTGCACGAGAGCAAGGACGTGTACAGATCTATGTGGCAGCTGCCGGCGCTGGCGTGGCATGGTGGGGGGCAGGCTGGAGAGGGGTCTGCATCCCAGGGGGAGTGCAACGCCGTTGGAGGGGTTGGTGTGAAAGTGTCGGCCAGATCTGGGGAGACAGATTGGGCAACTGCACACCGACGTTTGGGGCATGTGGCAATGCCTTTGCTGAAGCAGCTGGAGAAGGATGGAGCCGTTAAGGGCTTAAAGCTGAACGGACAACCACCCGATGATTGTTGGGTGCAAATTCACATTGCACGACATCCTGCCGTCTGTTTGTACGAGTATGCGTGTGCGAATGCATTTGCGTGTGAATGGTATGCTTGTGTGTTTGTTTGCTTTCGCAATTTTCGCTTGAAGCATTTGCAGGTACTCGCAAAATGTGCGCTTCGGCATAACATTGTACGCGCTATGAACAGTACAAGCAGAAAGGATGAGCTCGCAAAGGAACCCAAGATGGAAGCTTTGCGGTTCAACTTACTTGATTGCGCAGATTCAGTTCTATCCAACTCGAAATTGTACTGTTTTGTTTGGTTGACTATAGTGTAGCAGGGCAGGCACTATAGGGGTACAATTTAGGTGAAGGTTGGATGTTGTTTGTCTGTATCTGCATGCTACAGGGCCAGGGGAAACCAGCGGAACCAGCATTTGGCTGGTTGGGCAAAGACAAAACAGGTTCTGTTTTTAGGACCTGAACCTGGTTGTTGTTTTCCCAGGTTGGAAAAACAGAACCAGAGGTTGTCCACCAACCTACCACCTGCTATTTTGTCCAGCCAGGTTGGTTCTGTTGCTTGGAATTATTTGGGATCATCCCTGGTTGTTCCCAGGTTGATTCCCAAGGTCCTTGCTAGCTAGAGCTATTTATTCCTTCTCTGTTTGTACCTGAATATAGTGAAATTGATTCAAGCGAATTCCTTCCTTGCTGGAATTTCTTGTCTACGCGGTGCGACGGCGGAATGCTACCCGAGTCAACGCTAGTACGCTAGCACTCCAACGCTAGGCTAACGCTGTCCGAGCCATAACTTCGTAATGGCAGAACTTTTCGCGAGGCAACTTGGCTTATTTTAAAGCTCTTAGAGTGAGCTTCGATATAGGAAATTCTCAGCTTAATCCGATCGACGGTCTGCACGATACGCTGCGCGACGTTCAAGGTACTCTTGCTGTTTTGACTAAGTCCCTCTTGATCCCTCTCTCTACAAACTCGGACCCGAGGATAGGGGCTGGTCTTGTACCAGGTACCCAAGGACCCTTGGAGGTGACCCCGAGGAGAGGTTTTAAGTGTGATAAAGTCTTAATAGCTTGAGTTTATTAGGCCCTTACACCAACAAGCTGGTATCAGAGCTGCGTTATAGTGATCCTCGATATAGGTAGCTATGGCGGGCAACACCTCGGCGGTAGCTGGTGAATCTTCAGCCCAAGATCGTAGCGGCAGCCATGATTCTGGTGTTTCTGCGCCAAGGGGAGCGCGAACAAGCCAGGGCTCGCTGATCAAGGAGGTGCTGAAAAACTTCACCGTCGAGAAGTTCAATGGTGAGGGCTATGATGATTGGGCCTGGAAAATGCAACTTTATTTCCGTCAAATCGGATTGCTGAAACTAATGATTGGGGAGGAGCCTAGACCGAGTGACCCCGCCCTTCAGGAAGATTGGGACGAGCGCGCCTCGGCTGGCTACTACTTGATGTCGCAGAGTTTGGAGCTGAACCAGCGTCACCACGTCATGCACCTGCTGCCGGAGGTTGAGTGCGGTCCGAAGGCGTGGACGGTGTTGAAGGAGCTGCACGCCCCGACCTCCGTTGTTGCAACATTGATGCTGGAGAGGGAGCTGTCCGCGTTGCGCCTGAGCGAGGGAGAGCCGGTGCAACCTGTCCTGGACAAATTGCGCGACCTCTACGCGAAGTTGGCGACCGCAGGAATCACC